GTTCGGGACCCGAATTGGCCGTGAACAGAAGCGTTCGTGACCCAAGGTACCGCTGTACTTCAAAAGATGACCTCCAATGTTCTCTAGAACATCTGAAAGGGCTCTTCCTTGCATAGACATCTCTGTAGGACTTCTTTTTTATTTTTCCTGTTCTGAAAATTCATGATGAGCTGCAAATTGTGTTTCCCATCACAAGAAGCGTTGTTTTCCACCTTGACATGGGGATGGAAAGGAGAGGCATGGCCCTACACTGATTGCGGAGTGATTAGAGCAGATCTGCTTAGCTGAATGTAACAATGGCATTAAGTTTCTGGAGGGCAGTCATGAATATGCAGGGCAAATTAACACCTGAATCCTTTTTTATATACACGTAAAACACTGGCAATGGTGGCTTTCTTACGAAGTTCAGATCTTCCTGAATTGATACAGCCAAAGAGAATAGGTGCTCCATTCTCTGACTATTTAACCGATATTTCCTTCTTTTGCTCCTCTTTTCTGAGAGACCATATTCAAAGCAAGAACAGTCCAGTAAAAATATCCAATCCTGTCCCCCCAAAATCTTGCTTCCAGAAAATTTGGGGCATGGCATTTTCTCCAAGACTAGCAATCATGATGGAAAAAGACAAGGAAACTGGGTTTTCGTGGTTGCTTCTAGTGTTTCTCCAATTAGTTCATGTCACATTGTATGAAGTTTTAATTTTGTCGACTTGATTCTCTGGCTTCTACTAGCAGCTCACCTCCAACCCCAACCCCAACCCCAACCCCAATATTCTAGTAAAAGAAGAGAGAAATACTTTCTCAACACTGTCCATCACCCTGTACACTCTGTTGTTTTATCAACCTCTAACAGAATATTAATTCTTCCAGTTCTCCTTTTTGCATTTTTTAAAATACTTTCACACACACCCCACATGCTTGATTTTGGAATTCTCTATCAGTAGTTGTGGGTATAGCTACCAATTGATGGGGCTGCAAAGAGACTAAACAAATTCATAGAGAATTAGGTGGCCCTAATTCTACTGGTTGCTGTGGGCTTGAATATCAGCTCGATGGAAACAAAAACAGGTGAGTAGAGTAGAGTGACCAGTCTGGAGGTCTTCCTGTAAGGAAACCTGGTTGATTCCTCCCAAAACAGAATGTTGGCTCTATAGATTTGATTCACCCTGATCTTCCTTTATGATGGGACGTGGAGGTGTATGGAGTTGCCCTTGAAGAAAAGATGCAACAGGGAAATGTGAACTTAGCCTGGGAGAACAGGAAGGGGTGAGAAAGAAGCTCAGGACTGGCCTGCCTTGACTCAATTTGGTGTAAGAAGGAAGGAGGGAAAACTCAGTCTGGCTTTCAAGATTCTGTTATGGGAGTCTAGATCAATGGAGTTGAGTTCCAAGTCAATCTTGTGGTGTCTGTTTCCTGACCTGGCTTGCTTTGAAGGGTCGACCTATGGCAAGGGTGAAACAGAACAGGTGTTTAGTGTCCCAGCTTTATTCCTCAGGGGGTTTCATGACAGAATTTCAAATATCAGTGGACTCCAAGTGTTGATCCTTCTTTCCATGGCTGTAAGCTCTTACATGATTGTTGCCATCAAATCAGTGTTTGTGCTTCATGACTGCCGGCTCCATAATTGGACCCAATTCTCTCTCCTTTTTGGAGGAGCCTGAATGAATTCCGTAAATGATGGGCAACGCTTCTGGAATCATTGTTTAAACAATCTCCTAAATTAGAGACACAAACTGAGCCAAGGTCTTGACTAACCTTGCCTTAAATTCACCCCAGAATTGAGTGAAGATTGGTTTAAATTTATTTTTCAGACCTCCATGAAAGAAATATTACTTCTCATTTCATTTTGACTACAGCTGAATTCCATTCCTGTCTGGAAAAGACATTAACAGCCTTGCTCAGCCTCCGTGAGACGTGAAAATGAAACAAGGGGGCACTTTTAAGGTGGCACTTGGCCAGTCAGCTGTGTTCACCTCAAGAATATTCCGTTTATTATAACATTTATGGACCGCACTTTACCCACAAGGGTGCTCTATATTACATGTAAGAAAAGGGCAAATACACAATAACAGCAACTATGATTTTTCAAAAGAAGAAAGCAGAACAGTTATTTGGCCAATAAACAACCAGTCAGTTAATTGTTTAAAACGTCATTTGAATTACCTGGGCCCAAAGACATTAGCTGATGAATCACCAAACAGAAGGCAAACCAAAATTAAGTTAGAATTCCAAAGTCCAGGTGCCACCACCAAGAAGACCCTGTATTTTCTCAAAGCGTTGCATGATTGCCCCACCACGAGCACTCGGGAAATAGCCTCATCTAAAGATTTATTGCGCAGGTAGATCAACGTATTAGGTGTCACTCCTTCCCCCGATTGGGCCCTAAAATGCTTGGGGTTTTAAAGCTAAAGCTTGAATTAGACTTCTCAGCAACAGAGGATTGTTTTAATTAGGTATTACATTAAGGAAAAGGGCATACACCATAAAACTGCAGGCACAGGAAAATGGCTTGCGCAAAGCATTCAGGTTAGGGAGAGAGATACCTGCATCTCAGGTGTGGCGGATTCCCCCTTCAGCACTGTAACTTGGCCAAGATATGATTGCCGCCGTTGCTCCTTCAACTTTCACTTGAAAAATACCTAGACTTGCCGGCTATTATAGCAATGCTCAGTCTCTCTCATTTCTCTCACCCAGTTCTTGCCGCAGAGGTCTCATTCTGCAAATCCGGATTGCATGACCCCCCATGGGACTATCCTGCACCAGACGTTGGACTTCGATGAGTTCATTCCCCCAATTCCACCTCCGCCCTATTACCCACCGGAATACACCTGCACGCCGGCCACGGAGACGCAAAGGTGAGTTTTCTTTCATCTGAACATCCTGCCCTCCACTACGCTCCAGGGAGATGGACTGGTCTCTTGTCTTGCATGGACCAGGAGATCTCTCCCTAGTTCTGTTTCTAGATCCTTGTCTGATTCCTACATAATGCTCAGAGGTTCGTTTTGTTTTTGGCTTCATTCTTTGCTTTGGAAATGATGGATTATTTCTTGAGAGGAGTTTGTATAACGCACTAAGCCGAAAGCAAACCCATGTTAAGGCTTAACATTAGCAAACCTGGTGGGTATACTTTCATGAGTTACAAGCTACAGATGTCTAATAGCTCAAATATTGATATTTTCATTCGTTTTGCACTTCTTGTTAATTGGGAAGGATGCTATTTTAAACATATACACCTTAGAGGCAGAATATTTAAGGGATTCCTGGAGCACAGTTTAAACATTCATGTATGCATAGGGGTAAAAATAATAGATCAGCAGCCAGGGTATCATTTCTTCATTTTATCCATGCTGGATCAAGCATCAGTTGCAAAGAAGAATGTCTTCCTGTTCAACAAAACCGTGCAAGTTGAATTCTGATGCAGACACACCTAATCCCGCTGAAATTAGTAAGATATGTTAGGCTTGACTAAAGCCCTCTTGAACTCCATAGCTCTTCTTTAAGGACCGCTGAATCTGACTCCAATCAATTTTTTTTTTTTTAATTGGCTGCCTGGTTAATTAGGACTGATAAATTGGAGGAATTATTTTCATTGATCAAGCTGCTTGAGCATCTAAAACACTGAAGCTTTGCAGGTAGTGGCTCTATTAATAGCCCATTATCAGGAGGGTCTGCGGGGGGTGGGGATTAAAGAAGTCACAATGGTGGCCACCTTGCGTGATCAGAACCTCACCCCGATTTTTAATGCCTGTCGCACGTGACACAAATAAGAAGGGGTAGAGCTTCAACTGCATGGGCAGAGCTGTCATCTTGACTTTTTTGACCTCCCCCCAGACAACCCTACTCATCATTATCTCACTTGTTTTTTAGGGCTTTCCATTTGGACTTTCCACACTCCCCCTTCAGCACTTTATACGAAGTGACCATCAACAGCCCTGGGATTCTCTACCCTGCCGAGCTGCCTCCGCCTTATGAGGCCGTCGTTGGACAAGCTCCCACGAACCAGGTTAGAGGAGTGGGCAGTGCCCAGACCAAGTTTGGAAATGTCGTAGTAAAATCATTGCATCTCTAATCCTTCCTCTGAACAGAGATGGATTTGATTTTCACCCCACGGGGAACTTCTGGGATGTGTTTAGATTCGATAGTTGAAAAGCTGTCAAATTGTTTGTAATTCAGGTTAGAAAGCAAAGCAGGGGGTAACACTGAAAGGTAATTTCTTTGTAGTGTCTTGACAATGTCTTACCAACACTGAGCATGCAGCTTGTTTTAGCAGCTGTGTGTTTGGCTTAAAGAACAATCTGGTCGGACCCCAAAAACGCTTGCTTTTCATCGTGGATCACGCCTATGTACATAGGGACGAGATAGCACATGCATAGAAACAGTGCATATGTATAATATCTTTACAGATCATGTTACTCTCAAGTTGATTGTAACTTGCTGCACTACCAAAAAAATCTGCTTACATTTTTTGAGGAACTCTTGTTGGATTGTTCCGTAACCAAGGGACCAGTTTGCAAATTTGCAAACTCAGAGATATTTTGCGATCAGTCCTTAGGTCCCAGAATAATTTGATGGTGGATGGACGGTCTGTGTGTGAACCTACTTGGATAGAGTTCATAGCCCAGGTCTTTTATGCTACAAAACTCCAGGGTTGAAAGGCAGGCCAAGGTAGGGTAGCATTTGTGAAAAACAAGGGCTTGCGAAGGCTGATGGCCTGCCCAGCAGATTCTGGTTGGAGATTTTGTAAAGTAGAACATTGGAGTAAATGAAGATTCCCTCTTTCACCCAGTTGGGCTCCTCCTATGTTCTTACACAACTTCGCTCATAACATACTTCCTGGAGAAGTTAGACTGAACCAACTGAAGTTACACCCAGGGCATCTTCTGCAGATGGAAGGGTTAAACCTTGTGTGATGGGGAAAAGTGCGCAAAAAAACACAGCTGGCAACCTTCCCATGTGCCTTTGCATGTTGAGCGTGAGGGTCTGGAGATGGGACAAGACTGTGTGCATGCTCAGATAAGACGGGATTACAATCTTCCTGCCACCCCTGATAATCAGTGTGTGAATGTCTTTAGAAGAGCTCGTGAAGGTTTCTTGATCCATCGTTCTCTCATGAAGAGCTCTCAAGGGCTTGCCTGCATTGATAAAAGATAAACGGTCTTTCAAGTTGAACTAATGGCCTCATGGGCATCTCCCTGTAGTTTTCTTCAATCTTCCCAGATGTTTCTTTCTAGTCCACAGCCTTGAGGTTTCCTGGTTGTCTCCCATGCAAATGCTAACCAAGCCTAACTCTGCTTAGCTTTTTCCAATTAAGGTTACCTCCATGTTATATCCTACATTGCTACTGTCCTATTAGTTGGATTCTTAGCCTATAGACTTGGTTTATTGTACATTTATTTGCTAGTCTGATATCCCATCTTCCCTCAGGAGTTCCACACACCACACACAGTGCTATCTTCTCTAGCTTTTTTTCATGGCTATAGCTCTTATGGATGAGGGTGGACTTGAACCTGGAGGTCTATGGCGCCGGTTCAACACCTTCATTGCTGCATCCCTCTACCTTTGGAGAAGGAAGAACAAGTTTTGGGATGGCCATCCTTTTTTCAGAGATTTCCAGAGCTCAAGCATGTGGGTGAAACTGCAATTTAGAGAATATGAACAAGAAGGAAAAAAGGAACTTGAGTCCTGGGCATTTTGATGTTTTTTAGATAGATTTTTATTTCCGGCCCATTGCCTCTTATGTATTCTTTCCAAACTCCACTGTGTGATTCTAACCTGCAAATCTCATCTCTCCTGGATCCCACGTTCTGGTTGGGCACCTCAGCGCAAAATAGCCTTTTAGTAAAAGCCATCGATGAAGTGCATGAACTGACTGCTCTTCCTCAGGGGCAGAATATAAAGAGGCATTCTGAAGTGGCAGGTTTTGTTTTGGTCAGGAAGGGAAGAATCACCCAGCTCCTGGAAATCTTATCAGCTCGCCTCCCAGTTTGTTTTATTTGATTACATTATTTATATCTCACTTTTCCATCTTCCAGCAGAAGCATCTTAAGGGCACAGGGAATTTGCTACCTAGGAGATGTTTCTAACTCATCTCTAAATAAATTAACTAAAGAGGCGCCATCTTATCTTATATC